GCAAACATTTTCTACCATTAATACGCCACAAAACTGTCAAGATCCTCACAAACATCATGGGGTGCATGTACTGTATAAACCAACAGGGCGGAGCATGATCCTACCCATTATGCATGAAAGCCATACGTCTATGGCAATGGTGCATAGCCACCCAAAAAGACATCTTTGCAACATATCTTCTGGGAATACAGAATAGCATTGCGGACTGGCTCAGCAGACACTTCCACCAGAACCATCAAGGTCATCAAGTCCAGCCCCCTGCCCAAAGCAGGACCAATCCCAACTTAATCAACCTAGCCTGGGCTTTGTCAAGCCGAGACTTAAACACCTCTAGGGATGGAGACTCCACTACTTCCCTAGGTAACCCATTCCAGTTTTTCCTAATATCCAATCTAGATCTCCCCCACTGTAACTTGAAAACTGTAACAAAGAATAGGTGTTATTCTTTGTAGAATGAGGTTTACAGAAGTTGCAATAAGTTGTCTGCTATTTTGAAATTATTTCAAAATAACAGAATTGCTGTGTAGACACTTGCATAGTTATTTTGGAATAACGGCCATTATTCCGAAATAACTTTGCTATCTCCATGTGGCACCATAAAATCAAAATATACACCACTTTTACACATCCAACTACCAAGTGTTTCACAAAAGGGCTAAACACTTCCCCGCTATTAAAACAACCTTCCCTGATGTGGGACCTCAGTATGGGTATGTCTACACTACCCCTCTAGTTCGAACTAGCGGGGTAATGTAGGCATACCGCACTTGCAAATGAAGCCCGGGATTTGAATTTCCCGGGCTTCATTTGCATAAGCGGGGAGCCGCCAGGCTCCCCGCTTATGCAAATGAAGCCTGGGAAATTCAAATCCCGGGCTTCATTTGCAAGTGTGGTATGCCTACATTACCCTCCTAGTTCGAACTAGGAGGGTAGTGTAGACATACCCTATGGTACTTCACATATTCACGGGCAAACCATTTGAGCATCTAGCCACCTGCACCCTATGATAGCTGTCAGTGAAGATATCCTTCCTCATTGCAATTACTATAGTCTGAAGAGCAGGGCAACTAGCTGCCCTCATGGCAGACCCTCCCTCCCTTTATATGCTATTCCAGAAAGATAGTCATCTTAAGATTCCAGCCCAAATTTCTCCCAAAAGTAGTCTCACCCTTTCACTTGAATCAACCCATTTATTTAGCTGTATTCTTTCCAAAGCTGCATACAGGCAACCAGGCAGGCAGTGCTCCACTCCCTCAATGTGCAGTGAGCACTTGGCTTTTACCTAGAGAGAATAAAGACATTTAGGAAATCCCCATGTCTAATTTTCTGTATTACTCAGTGATCCACAGGCAAAACAATATCTAAACAAAGACTCTCTAAATGGATCTCTCTATGTATACAATTATGCTATGAATGCAACAATATCCCTGCTCCCCAAACAGCCCATACAAACTCTACCAGAGCTGTTTCTACATGTTGGACTTTCCTCAACAACATTCCCATCACAGACATCTGTAAGGCAGTGACATGAACATTAATCCACACATTCACAAAGCACTATGCAATAGAGCAACATTCCTCAGTGGACACTCACTTCGGACAGTCTGTTTTAACACCACCACCACATAGGTAATTACACCCTGACTTCCACAGCAAGACAATATTCCACAGTCACCTAATGTGGAGCACCCATAGGGACACTTCTCAAAGAAGAGAGGGTTACTCACTTTGTGAAGTAACTGAGGTTTTTCGAGATGGTTGTCCCTGTGAGTGCTCCATGACCTGCCTTTCAGAGTAGAGAAGGACTGAGGGATGGTTGATGGTGCACAGCAGTTAACTGCTGGCATGGGTGCAAGATATGTACCATGTGTGTGTTGCCACCCAGAGTACTACTGCTAAAAATCTTTGACTATAAGCACTGGATACCAAAACATCTAGGCTGTGTCTACATTGGCACCCTTTTCCAGAAAAGGGATGCTAATGAGACACTTCAGAATTGCAAATGCCGCGGGGGATTTAAATATCCCTCGTGGCATTTGCATGAACATGGCTGCCGCTTTTTTCCGGCTCGGGGCTTTGCCAGAGAAAAGCACCAGTCTAGACGGGATCTTTCGGAAAATAAAGCCTTTTCCGGAAGATCCCTTATTCCCGATTTTAAGAAAAAGCTTTATTTTCCGAAAGATCCCGTCTAGACTGGCGCTTTTCTCCGGCAAAGCCCCGAGCCGGAAAAAAGCGGCAGCCATGTTCATGCAAATGCCACGGGGGATATTTAAATCCCCCACAGCATTTGCAATTCCGACTTGTCTCATTAGCATCCCTTTTCCGGAAAAGGGTGCCAATGTAGTCACAGCCCTAATGTAGAACACTCACCAGGACAACCATCTCAAAGAACCTCAGTTACTGCACAAGGTATGTAATCCTCTCGTCAGGATCTGGCCTGGTAAAAGAAAAGCTAAAGTTAGCCAAGCTCTCAGTGTTGCTATCAGAATTTTCTTCTCTTGTCATATGCTGTTTTTCTCTCTGCTTTTTCTTATTCTGAAGATTGCAGGGTACCCTTATTAGTCTTGCTAGCACTACTGTGATTGATTTAGTGAATTTCTCTGGAGTTAATGGTATCTGTTCCTTCACATACAAATATAACACTTACATACTTTTAATTTTGTCTTGCCAAATCAGGCCTATATTTTGAATTCATTACCATCCCCAGGAGTTAGTAATTTTTCTGCACTACCTACAAATACCTGCTGTGTTGTAATTTTCTTGTCACACAAGCTTCCAAGACAAACTAATTCCAATCACATTCTAATTTTATTTGTAATAGTTCTAAGTCCTAGCACATAGGGGAAGAAACATACTAATTTCATGTTCTTTTCAATTTTATGCATCCCTTTTTAGATTTTTCATTTTTCTTGGTTATATCTGCTTTGATTATTTAAGTAAAGAAATTGGTAGAAAAAACAACATGGCAGGGAAAAAACCCTTCATAACTTTTTTACAGGCTGTTTTAATGTTTTTATATAAAACTAATAAGTATACAGTGGGGAAGGAGAGAGGAAATTTTTATCTTGTGATTAGTTACAGAATACATTTTCTCTCTTGCTTACATTCTCTTTCACTGTTACCTATTTACATTTTTTACATAGATATGGACCTACCAAATACTATAGGTTGGTCTGACCTAGCTGTCTGGGTAGGATAAGTCTGTGCAGAAGCTTGAAATGTAATTCCCAGCTCCGACAGACATACATACACTATCTCTGTCCAAGCTAGTCTGCTTACAAATAGCAGTATGGCCGTGATGGCACAGGAAGTGATATAGGTTAGCTTCCAAAGTACAATTGAGTACAGTCAAGATTCTAGGTATGTATTTAAGATGCTAGCCAGGAACTAGTTTTGAACTTAAACATGGAAAAAATCTTGGTAATTCTTAGTAATCAATTGGAGTAAAGCCTCCAGTAAAAGTAACAGAAGTAAAAGTTCAACAACTCATAATTCAGGTTTGAGGCTACCCTGTTCATTGTACAGATTGCAGATTCATAATGTACCACCACTTTTGTTCTGGTGCAGGTGTAACATTCACCTAGTGTGGTTCACTGTCCCATGTAGTGGCACTTAGACCACCTAAAGCAAGAGCTGAGAGCAAGGGAGCTCTACAGCCTAAGCTGAGAGCCAGCTGGCTTTATCGGTCAAGAAGTAGAGGCTCCTATACTGAGGTCCTACGTTCAAATCTGCCCTGTGATGGTTACACAGGCAGCTTGTGGGGCTCAGAGCCTGGGGCTAGAGAGGCTGAAATGGAAGATCACAGTGAGATGGAATTATTTGTGTGTGTGACCTATAGATGTGGTAGAGCAGGCTCAATTCAGAACTAGTTTCACTGATCCTCCTGCTGAGGAAATTAGTGTCATGATGAGATGGAAAGAGGGAGGAAGGAAAAAACAGACTCCTGTAGACAGGATGCACCTTCTGATAGGGAATTTAAAGGTGAATTAACCTTAATTCAGGGCCTAATGAATTAGTTGGGACAATAAGTAAATTAAAACACTCAAGTTACAAATCTCCCAAATTCTTGGCTTTGTTGAATCACAAAGCAGATATGAAGCCAACTGATGCTTCCCTTTTTGCAGGGAATTGTTGAGTAATATTGCTGGATCTGTGCCAACCTCTCCCTCACTTCCCCAGCACAGTGTGGCTGGTTAAAAAGGGACATGGCTAGATAGAATGGACTCATTGCAGCAGACGGTACTTACAGCCCCTGTTGTGCTCTTCAGGATCAGACTGGCAATCTGAAGATGGGTAGGGCATGAAGGTGCCTTACACACACTTGAATGGTGCCTTCCCTCTTAAATTGAACTGGATGCCAGCTGGCTAATTCTGAAGGTGTGACCCACATGATAGAGACAAATTGACACAGCTTCTTTAAGGAGAATTGTGCCTCTTTGATCTATTAGAGTTCTTTGGCCACATCCACAAAAGAGTGGACAAAGGAGATTTGGTAGATTTAATTGTTTAGAATTTAAGTCCCTCACAAGGGACTACTAGATAAATGAGCCCGGAGGTGATGGATAAAATTCTGTCATCGATCAGAAATTGATTGAAAGAGAAAAAAAAAGGGTCTTGTGATCAGAAATTGATTGAAAGAGAAAAAAAAGGGTCTTGTGATAGTAATGCAATCAGATGTGAAAGAATATGTGGCCTCACATTCAGAAATACACAGTTTGAGGTGCAAGGAGTCCTTTCTGATATCACAATATATGCATTATAAATATAGAACAAAAACAATTTCAGGGAGCTTCCCAATAATATTTGTGTATGTCTGAATAGAAGGTTTGATTTCAAGTTTTTATTATTTATATAGGACCACTAATGTGCACACAGTTATTTACTGATGTAGAAATAAACAAAAGACACATGGAAGTGATGTTCCCGCTCAGAAGATTTTACTGTCTAAAATCAGTCTAGCAACTGTGTTGTGTGTTAAGAATATTTCTCCTCTTTTTTAGTGGTCAACCCATTCCCAGGGTGGAGTATACAGCTGAAGAAATTAAAACGTGGGGTACAGTATTCAGGGAACTCACCAAACTCTATCCCACTCACGCTTGCCGTGAATATTTAAAAAACTTCCCTTTGCTGACCAAGTATTGTGGATATAGAGAGGATAATGTACCTCAACTGGAAGATGTTTCTATTTTTCTTAAAGGTAAGGTTCATGTTTAGTTTTTGTATAGCCGTTATATCATGGAAAAATGTTATCTTTTCCTAGGACCTAATCCAAAATCCACTGAATGGAAGAACCTCCATTGACATAAAAGGATTTTGGATTAAGCCATTTGTCAACACACACACTGTTGCATTGTAATGTTTTCCACAGGAAGGAAATCGGAGTGTATGATAGTTATTTTAACAGGAATATATGAAGTTCAGAGAAGTGGCTTGGTAACATACTTGTACACCACATACCATATCTGCTATATGAGAGAGTTTCTGTATGTGTCTACATACCATATCTGCTATATATTTGAGAGAGTTTCTGTATGTGTCCGTCCTTCTGTCTGTCTTTGAGTCTGTTTGTTCAAGAACTCCTCCTAAACAGTAAGGTCTAAGACCACCAAATTTGATATGCCGTTTCCTTTTATCATAACTTAAAGCAAAGTCAGGTTTTGGTTGTGCCAGGACAGCCATCAGCTGCCCCTACCACCTCCCCTGAGCCACCCTCACACCTCCCAACCCCTGAACTTGTACCCCTGACTCCTGAACTTCTACCCCTAGCCATGACTTCTGCACTCCCCTTCAGCCTCCTGTCCTGAGGGACCCAAGCAATGCTGGGTAAATCTTCTAGTAAAGTTATATTGGCAGTAGACGCAGTTGCTTAGAGCGCTGCTGGCCCGGGCGCCCGATGATGACGTCACGGCCATTGATGGCCGTGCAGGCAGGGGTGCCAATTGCGCCACCCCGCCTAGGGCGCCAGCTGCTGCAGCCAGCCTCGGGCCGCTCCTGGCAGTAGAGAAAGGTCTTGTGGTGTGACTGGGGAGGCAAGTACAGATAGCTGTGTTGTGGAAATGAATGCAATGAAGGAATACTGCTTCTCCTGTTTGTTCACCTAGTAGGAAGGAAGAAGACAGAATTTTAAATGTTGCGACAGTAGAATTTTAAAGATGGCTTCAGGCACAGCAGATGCTCATTTTTCCTCTATCAAGCATGAGACTCCCAGAACCAAAAAGACCTTTGTGAAGAATAAGGGGCCCTTAAGATAGCATGTATATGTTTCACACTTGAACACAAGGGAGCTATGTTAGAAGGAAATTAATAAATGGAGGAATATGCAAAACTACTACCTAGCTCTGTGGTTTGTTGCCCATGGCTCCTGGTTCATGATATTGTCTGTGTCTATGGCAAAGTTACGGATGGTGGACATGCACTTTTCCAGCTATGCTTGAATATTCCCAAATTAACTTTGCAGGATTCTAGTACAGTTCTGAAGTTTTGATTTTGAAGTGCCAGGCCTGGCGTTGTGGAGCTACGCCCTTGCCCCGCACAACGCGACTGACTGAGAGTTGACTTAGGCTTGGACTACTGGGGCCAGGCATTTTTGGGTGCACGGGGTTAGGAAACGTTAAGCTGGCAGGACAGCAGGTAAAGGGGGGGGGCTATGATGGTGAGCCCGCTGCCTACCAATCATCATCCTGCTACAAGGACAAATGCAAAGTACTCCACTTAGGAAGGAATAATCAGTCTCACACATACAAAATGGGAAGTGACTGTCTAGGAAGGAGTATGGTAGAAAGGGATCTAGGGGTTATAGTGGACCACAAGCTAAATATGAAAGCACACATGATTCTGGGATGCATTAACAGGAGTGTTGGGAGCAAGACAGGAAAAGTCATTCTTTCGCTCTGCTCTGTGCTGATTAGGCCTCAATTTGGAGTATTGTGTCCGGTTCTGGGCACCTCATTTCAAGAAAGATGTGGAGAAATTGGAGAAGGTCCAGAGAAGAGCAACAAGGGGCTGTTAACAGGGAGTTTGGAGAGGGAGTTGGGAAAGGGATAAGATACACTCACCGTTCCTTAACATCTTTTCACTACACTCCTTCCCTTCAAGGAAGCATTTAATAACAACTGAGGAATCTCTCAGAGAAGAAGGCAGGTATGGATGGTGATAGGTCAGCTGTTGTTACCTGCACAGCATGTGCCATGTTTATCTTCCTCCCAGACGAAAGAAGGGATTTCATCTGCACAAAGTTGGTCTCTATTTTGGAAGAATGCCCAAGTATCAACCCTGTGTTCCATCAGAAAGTATGGAGATGTCCTCAATAGAAGGCAGCATTTAATCCTGCAGGCACAGCAAGCTGAAGAGCCAGTAAGGGAAGTACAGGACAAGGAAGAGAACTGGCAGCATGTAAGCTCTAGAAGACGAAAGCCAATTCAGGTATCCCCAATTCCTGTAGAGGTAAGTAACCACTTTCAGGCTCTCTCCACAGGCACTTGGGTAGAGAATGCTTTCAGAGACCTCTCAGGGAAGAAATCAGAAAGGTACACCATTCACCGGAAGGCATGGGATGCGTAGTCGTATGGATGGGGGCACCCCCAAAAGAAGACGGGTGGTTGGGGACTCCCTCCTAAGAGGGACTGAGTCATCCATCTGCCGTCCAGACCTGCAGTCTCAAGAAGTGTGCTACTTATCAGGAGCTCGTATTCAGGATGTGACCGAGAATCTTCGGAAAGTGATTAAACCTTTGGATCGCTACCCCTTCCTGCTTCTCCATATAGGAACTAATGATATGGCGAAGAATGACCTTGAGTGGGTCACATGTAGCACTGGGAAGGAGGATCAAGGAACTTGAAGTGCAAGTGGTGTTCTCATCCATCCTTCCGGTTGAAGGAAAAGGGATCGTCGAATAGAGGAAGTAAATGCGTGGTTGCGCAGGTGGTGTCGGAGAGAGACTGTAAATATGGATTGGATAAATGGACTGTAAGATGGATAGAAAGCTGGCTAGACCGTCTGGCCCAACGGGTAGTGATCAATGGCTCGATGTCAGGTTGGCGGTCAATTTCTAGCAGAGTGCCCAAAGGATCTGTTCTTGGAATGGTTTTGTTCAACATCTTTATTAATGACCTGGATGAGGAGATGGATTACACCCTCAGCAAGTTTGCAGATGACACTAAGCTAGGGGGAAAGGTAGATACACTGGAGTGTGTCTAAACTACACCCCTCTGCTGACAGAGGGATGTAGATTAGGCACATTGCTATTGCAAATGAAGCACGGATTTAAATATCCCACATTTGAAATAAAAATGCCCGCCACTTTTTGCCAATGCAGCACTTTGCTGGCAAAAAGTGGCAGTCTAGATGGGGATCAGTTGACAAGGAAAGCCTTTTCTAACCGATCTCTTATGCCTCATGTAACGAGGTTTACAGAATCGGTCAGAAAAGGCTTTCCTTGTCGACTGATCCCCGTCTAGACTGCCACTTTTTGCTGGCAAAGTGCTGTGTCGGCAAAAAGCAGTGGCCATTTCTATTCAAATGAAGCACGGGATATTTAATTCCCCACTTCATTTGCAATAACGATGTGCCTAATCTACATCCCTCTGTTGGCAGAGGGGTATAGTTTAGACACACCCCTGGAGGGCAGGGATAAGGTCCAGAGTGACCTGGACAGAGTAGAGGATTGGGCCAAAAGAAATCTGATGAGGTTCAGCAAGGACAAGTGCAGAGTCCTGCACTTGGGACGGAAGAATCCCAAGCATTGTTACAGGCTGGGGACTGAATGGCTAAGTAGCAGTTCAGCAGAAAAGGACCTGGGGATGACAGTGGATGAGAAGCTGGATATGAGTACCCTTGAATCCAAGAAGGCTAATGGCCTATTAGAGTGCATTAGGAAGAGCATTGCCAGCAGATCCAGAGAAGTGATTATTTCCCTTTATTCGGCTCTGGTGAGGCCACATCTGGAATATTGTGTACAGTTCTGGGCTCCGCACTATAGAAAAGATGTGGACGCATTGGAGAGGGTCCAGCGGAGGGCGACCAACATGATTAGGGGGCTGGAGCGCATGATCTATGAGGAGAGACTGAGGGATTTGGGTTTGTTTAGTCTGCAGAAGAGTAGAGTGAGGGAGGATTTGATAGCAGCCTTCAACTTACTGATGGGAGGTTCCAAAGAGGATGGAGACAGACTGTTCACAGCAGTGATGTATGGCAGAACAAGGAGCAATTGTCTCAAGTTACAGTGGGAGAGGTCTAGGTTGGATATTAGGCAAAACAATTTCCCTAGGAGCATGGTGAAGCACTGGAATGGGTTTCCTAGGGAGGTGGTGGAATCTCCATCCCTAGAGGTGTTTGTCTCAGCTTGACAAAGCCCTGGCTGGGTTGACTTACTTGGGATTGGTCCTGCTTTGGGTAGGGGGCTGGACTTGATGACCTCCTGAAGTGTCTTCCAGATCTATGATTCTATGAATGATTAAAGGTCTAGAGAACGACTAATTCACTCTCTACTCCTTGCTGATCAGGTCTGAGCTGGGTAGTGTGTCCAGTTCTGGGCACCAGAGTTCAGAAAAGATGTGGACAAATTGGAGAGAGTTCAGAGAAGAGCAACAAAAATGTTTAAAGGTCTAGAAAACATGAGCTCTGGGGTAAGAATGAAAAAAAAAAAGGTTGTTAAGTCTGGAAAAGTGAAGATGGATGAAAGACAGGATATCAGTTTTCAAGTACCTAATGGGTTGTTATAAGAAAGAGGGAGAAATTTTGTTCTTCGTAACTTCTGAGACTAGAACAAGAAGCAATTGCCATGAGTGCAGGGGATTGGACTTGATGACCTCTCAAGGTCCCTTCCAGTTCTAGTATGATTCTATGAAAATAGTATAGAGAGAACTTGCAAAAGAACTAGACTGATCAAAGTCATTGTGAGTTTGAAATAACTTCCCTGTAGAACCAGGGCTGAGGATAGAAATTCTGTGTCCATGGGAAAGATGTAGGGGGAGGGGGACAGCTCCTGCCCCCTGAAAGGAACAGGATCTCAGACGGAAGGGGCAGGCTGGGAGCCTACCTTTGTGCACTACTGGATCATGCAGACAGGGGCTCTGGCAGTAATTTAAAGGGCTTAGAGTTCCTGCTGCAGCTGCAATAGTGGCTGCGGCATATGGGAGCCATGGGAACTTTTAAATTTCTCTGCTGTCCCCTTCTTCTCTCCTCATCCCTCGTTGGTGTCCCTGTGAGGGACTAGTCTGACAAGGGAATGCATTATTAAATAAAAAATGAGCATCTGACATATGAATGCCACCTATATGTTTATTTAAACAATTTCTGAGATACTTTAAATGTGTAATTATTTTTATAGAGTTTAATTTCAGTAAGCGTGATTTTGCATCATATTTCACAGTACTTTAAATGTGTAATTATTTTTATAGTTTAATTTCAGTAAACGTGATTTTGCATCATATTTCACAAAATTCAGAATTTGTGTTGGAAACTTCTATAATGTTCTTGTTTAGTGCCATACACAAAAACAGATATTTCATGCTGTTATTGCTTACATTAGCCTTGACTTCTTTTCTAGTAATAGTTCTTAAATAATCCATGAATTAGCATGTCCAACTGAACTCTCCCTTGCCGCAATTTAAGCCAATTGCTTCTTGTCCTATCCTCAGAGGTTAAGGAAAATAATTTCTCTCTCTTTATTACTTCAAGCTGCTTTAATTAAGTGTATTTTAGCAATGCAAGGAGTGTGCAAATAGCATAGAATTTTTGGCCAGTGTTTTCAGTATCTTGTTTCTGATAGAATAAATAACTACAAATCCTTGCTTGGCTCTCAGATGTTGATGTATCCAACCTGATTTTTTCACTGTCTCATCCACTTTAGAAAGATCTGGCTTCACAGTGAGACCAGTTGCTGGATATCTGTCCCCTCGTGATTTTTTAGCAGGATTAGCCTATAGAGTTTTTCACTGCACTCAATATGTACGGCATGGTTCTGACCCTCTCTACACACCAGAACCGTAAGTATGCCATGTCCTATTCATTTGTTATTAAAAGAAACTATAGCTAAATTTTAAATTTCTACTTTTTCATGTTGATTTGGCCCTTTCAATAATACACTTCTTTTCACAGACTCTAGTGAAGAATCTTTGCACAAAGCATGAAATATCTTCTCTAGTGAAGTCAATGGCAAAACTCTTATTGACTTCAGTGGAGTGAGAATTTTTTGCTCATTTTTTTTCAAGTTGGGCTTTGAGCTCGGTCTGAGGATTTGGCCTATGTTGTTTGTAGAGCTGCTTGATTTTTTTAAAACAAACTCAACTGTTATTGATGGAAAATTGGGTTTTCAACTAAATACAATTTTTATCAATGTGTTTGCAGAAAATTTCAAGGTTTTTTGGTCTACAGATCAAATGCACGAAAACTTTTTTTTTCTTCCAATTTTTGGCCAAAACCAAAATATTTTAATGTAGACATAGTGCCTCTTGGGAGTTGTAGTTTGGGAATCTCATGTCCCCAATGTATGTGCTGGACTCCCAGCCTGACTTCCTTTTTTATACATTTAAGGCATGGGACTCCATGATACACTGCTTCCCCTCACCAAGAGAGGGGATCATGGTGCATTATGGGGGATGGACTCTGATCAGATACCCTGAGCCATATGAGGAGAACCTATGACTCCCATTATATCAGCATTTCCAAATTGAAATGTTTGTTTTTTTGATGAAATATATGGGTGGTTGATTTTTCACTGAAAATTCTTAATCTTTTTTTTGGGGGAAAGGGATTGAATGTTCATGCTCTATGCAAGTAAATAATAGACTAGTAATTCCATCAAGGGACATTGCTAACTTTATAAACCATAAGGGCCATATTTGAGCAGTTTATCAATTATAAAATGATAGTTTTTCTTTATTCTGTATGTATTCCTTTTGTATTTTATTTTTGTATAATTCATGGAGACAGTAACCAAAGTCAAAACTCACACAGATGTGTTAATATCTGTGGCCCTAATCCTGCAAACACTTAAGACCCTGCATAACTTTGCTCACAAGAGCAAATCCATTGAAGCTCTGAGAAAAAAGATATAAATCCAATAGGAGCATTTAAAAAAAAAACTGTTAAAAGCTATATCTAAAAATAATCTAATGTACTATCCTGGTTGGAGCCACCAGTTGGCACTGTTCTCTTTCTTATAGAAGGAGCTTTGCACAGTATTTGAAGGAGGGCGGTATTGTTAGTTTTGTAATGCAGTTTCTTTTTGGGGAAGCTGTGGCAAGCGTCAAAGGAATTGTCTGTCTTCCTAGTCTCTCTAACGAGAGTCGGCTCTTGAGGCAGAGTTACTACAAAGAAACTGAGCATTGGTGCTCTGGCTGAGATTCCTGAAAAAGAGTATTGATTGAATGCTGGTCAGTCACCTGTGCTCATAACCTGGTATATAGGGTATGTCTACACGGCTGCTATGGGAATATACACCAATTGTTTTTACTTCATAAATATCAGCATTGGGGGTGTGTGGGAATCATGAATAACAGAGCACACCAAAGTGCTGTGCTGTAACTCCTCCTTATACATCCTGTGGGCATGAACTAAAATGTAACCCTGTCTGAAGAAGACTACATTAATGAGAGCTGTTAACCTTTTAGTTTGCACTTACAACGTGCACACCAAGGGGGAGTTACAGTGCGGCAATTTGATGCACCCTGCTATTCACACTCCCTATACTCTGAACTGTGGGGTAGTGTAGACGAACCCATAGCATAGATAAAAAACTGCACTAAGAAGATACTTGACTGTGCTACAATGCATTTAACAGTGGGAAGATAACTTGCCAACCCCAACGTTGGCTAACACTCAGCAGAGGAATGCTGATATTTATAAGTAAAAACAATTGGTGCATATTCCCAACCAGTGCAAGGAATTTTTGAGAGTTATCCCACTAAGTGTAAAAGCCCCGAGGCAACAAACACTTTGAATATATGTGCAATTGTGTTCTCACGAGTTGTCCCTTTGGCTACTATGTTAATGGTATCAATGCTTAGTTCATACAGGTTCAGAACTTTGCAGAATGTTTTAGAAATTAGGCTGTAATATGTAATAATTAGGGTGGCCAGATGTTTGGTTTGCGACGGAAAGTCCTGTTGAAAAGGGGACCTGATGATGTCCGGTAAGATCTACTGACTGGACACCCAAAGTCCAGTTATTGCAGGTGAGGAAGCACTGGGTCATCACTCACGCTAGCCTCTACTCAGCCAGGGCCTCTTCTTACCTGCATTGGGCTGCTGCAGCTCCCAGTCCTGGCTCTGCAGGCAAGTCTCTCCTGACCCTCATACGGCAGAGGGGAGAGGAGAAAAGCAGTGACAGAGGGAGGGGGGGAAGAGGAGCAAACAAGGGGTGGGACCTCAGTGGGGTGGAATGGGGATAGATGTGGGTCCTCGGGAAAGAATGGATCAGGATGGGTCCTCACATGGCAGGGGAAGTTCTGGCACTCTTCCTGCAGTGTCCATTTAAAAAATATTACAAAGTTAGCAATGTTACTAATAACCAACATTCTTATGATACATTGTTTTAGAGTATTCACGGTGTCCTGAGAGTCAGTGTAGTAACTCTAGTGAAATTAAAATACTTACTTTTGCTTCTAAATATAATGGGAAAGCCTTGTTATCGCCTTGATGGCTCTAAGCATTAGAACTGTATACATTATATAGGTACAGTACTTAGACTTCACAATATCTTCTGGCAAGGAGTTCCACATGTTGACTGAGCATTCCGTGTAGTACTTCCTTTTGTTTTTTTTAAAACTGCTACTTATTGATTTAATTTGTGTTTGGGGAAGGAGTAAATAACTTGTGTTTGAGGAAGGAGTCAATAACTCTTCTTTATTTACGTTCTTTACACTTGTCATGGTTTTATAGATCTCTATCATATCCTCCCTTAGTTGTTTGTTTTCCAAGCTAAAAAGTTCCAGTCTTATTACTCTCTTCTCATATGGCAGCCATTCCAAACCTCTAATAATTTTGTTGCCCCTTTTTGAACTTTTTCCCATACCAAGATACCTTTTTCAAGATGAGGCAACCTTATTTGCATGCAGTATTCATGATGTGGGTGTACAATGGATTTATATAGAGGCAATAAGATATCCTGTCTTATTTGCTATCCCTTTATTAATGCTTTTTAGCATTCTGTTTGCTTTTTTGACTGCTGATGCACATTGAGTGTAAATTTTCAGAGAAATATCCACAATGACTCCAAGATCTCTCTCTGTAGTGGTAACAGCTAATTTAATCCCCAACATTCTATGGCTGTGTCTAGACTGGCAAGTTTTTCTGCAAAATCATCTGATTTTGTGGAAAAACTTGCCAGCTGTCTACACTGGCCGCGTGAATTTCCAGAAAAGCACTGACGATCTCATATAAAATCATCAGTGCTTTTCCGGAAATACTATGCTGCTCCCGTTTGGGCAAAAGTCTTTTTCTGAAAGACTTTTGCGCAAAAGGGCCAGTGTAGACAGCATAGTACTGTTTTCCGGAAAAAAGCCACGATCGCAAAAATGGCGATCGGGGCTTTTTTGTGGAAAACCGCGTCTAGATTGGCCATGGACGCTTTTCCGCAAAAAGTGCTTTTGCGGAAAAGCATCCTGCCAATCTAGACGTGATTTTTCCGAAAATGCTTTTAACGGAAAACTTTTCCGTTAAAAGCATTTCCGGAAAATCATGCCAGTGTAGACGTAGCCTATATGTACAGTTTGAATTATGTTTTCCAATATGCATTACTTTGCATTTATCAACATTAAAATTCATCTGTCATTTTGTGACTTAGTACTAGCATTTGAATCACGGATGAGAAGCTAATTATAAAAAGGAACTTTACTATTTATGTGCTGATCTATTTGCTCCAAAATCATATATAATTTCAGATAAATGGAGAGCAAAAAATGGTAAAGACTTCGTCTGATTTTCATAAGATTTGGCATATTTGCAGATGCTCTAAAAAACTGGATGAATTTCTGGTTCCATTAAAGTCAATGACAAAACTGTTGACTCCACTGGGGGAGAGGACGTTACCTTTAATATTTGGCATTTTGCAGTACAGTAACTACAGTGCCCAGCTTTCTCTCATCTGATGTATGGAGACATATTACAGTTGCAGGTGTCTGAGACTATGAATGTTGCATTTGAATACGATGAACCTGATGAAATAATTTCCATTGATTTTAATGGGCTTTGGATCGTGGTTCCCACCCATACTGTGGAGCTAGATGCAAATTAGGGCATTTACTTTAATTGATTTTTATCATAACTATCTGCATTGTAAAACATTTTCTTTACTGTTTTTATGACATTTCTATTACATTCATAGAACTATATGGATTTCTTCTGCTGGGCAATTTGCTCCTATAAACATCTTTCACTGTGAAAACTTGTATTACTGAAATCTTTTCCTCTCAATGTGTATGAATAAATTAAAGCCACTTAATTATGTTTCAAATACCACAAAACAAAAAAATTGAGTCTGGTAGTTAAGGAAAGAGTTATATTGTTTACACTATCTATAAAGGACCAGACTTGTTGGGAAATCTGTGAGACTGTTATGACAGGTCCCAACTAGAGTTTTTGGTTTTTTTTAAAGGCAACTCTCTGTAACATCACACAGAAAAAATATTTTTCACAGAGTAATATATATGCCAAAAGTGGGGGAAGGGGAACATTCCTCCTCCTCCTCTTGCTGATGTAGAAAATTGGATAGGGTTAGATTGTGGCTACACTTTTGTGCGTGTACAAGAATGGAAAGGGAGTCAACAGCCTCTCAGCAGACCTGTGGCTATATGCAGGGCCAGCCCATGTGTAGGGCTAGTCCATTAATTCTCTGGTAGCGTAGACAGCAGTAATTAGTCTCTTCAATGAGGATGGAGAGGAATAAAAAGGGGTCAAGGTTCTACACTGACTGGTACAGCTAAACTGGTATGTTGGAGACTGGCCTAGATTTGTGCTGCTTCCTGACATCAGTGACCTTAGCACAACAGTTCATCACTCTGGGTCTCTGCTGTCACAGGCCTTGGCTCTTTGATGCAGCCTAACAGACTTTGGCCTGGCCCCTGATGCATCAGGGTCTCTCACCAGCCTTCAGAACTCTCATGAATTAGGTTGTCAATGCCTCAATGCATCACTGAAATGGAGCAGCCCTTGGTTCATCAGCCGAGGTCTCAGTAGGCCTTTAAGACTTTAGTAACTCAAGGCATTTGGGCTCCTGTGTCTCAGTCAGGCCATTGGTAACTTGGGTGGTCTCCACTGCTCAGTGACTTAGAGAAATCCTGGATGATTTGTCATTATTCTGAAGCCTTAGAACCGCAACAAATTAATGCCTCAGACCATCAGCACAGAGGGCTTCTGTGCATACTTATCTCAGGGTGAAAAAGGCCTTGGTAGGATGTGGCAGTAACTCAGAGTCTCGCATTACATTGGGATCCTTGGGATCCACTGTTGATTCCCTGGCCCTCGGCACGTTAAGGCCTTGCATAATAGCCTCAGCCTATCATCACTATGATGTGAACCTCAGCACAGTTCTGTATGCTCAGAATAGCCCTTGTGCATCTATGGAGTCACAGCACCTGTGTCAGGACACATCAACATATAGATTCTGACTTCCTGTCCATCTGAGGGGTGCTCAGCCCCCCACCCCATGCTCTGCACTACCTCCACCCCTTCCTCCTAACCTCACCCCTGCCCAGCCACTGCCCTGACTCCGTTCCACCCCTGTACTCATCCCTCATGGAGCTTCCTGAATGGCACAAATTAGCTGTTTGCAGAGCTCCAGAAGTGCTGGAACGGAGGGGGAGGAATAGGTCAGCGGGGCAGCTGTGTACAATGGGCACAGGGGAGACAGAAGGGAGAGCTTGGTGCCAATGGTGCTCCACACCCAATATTTTTTCCCCACGGATGCTTCAGCCCTGGAGCACCCCTGAAATTGGAATAACCTCAACATCTCACTTGAGACTTAGTATTTTGGGACTTTAGAGAACTCTGATTTTATAAGCTCCTCTCTTGTTCAACTAATTTTGGCTTGGTGTTTTGATGCCTCAGCATAGCCACAGTCCCCAGAAAGGATTAGTACATCACAGCTTCAGAATGGGAAAGAATTGCTTTTGGGCCCTGCTTCACTGCCACCTCCAGCAGGCTATGGTGATGTGGAGCCTTCTTTAAGGCATGGCACTTTGGCACCTGGATGGAATTAGTAGCTCAGCACTTACTTTGGGACATGATGCTTCAGCAAATGGTTGTATCACCTCTGTTGGTTTGTATTGGTGCAACCTTTGAAGGCAGGTTTGCAACTTGAGGGGAAGAAGGATGCCATGTGACTTTCTAGCAGTGAACACCTTGTCATTAAGAGCTGCTGCAGGATATTGTCTTCCTGATGGAGTGCTCTTGCTTGAAGATGGAGTCTGAGATTCCTGTTGGGTCTGTGCCTTGATGCCTTTGGCTGTGCTCATGGCCTCTCACTAGATCTGATCATCTGTTCCTAAGGACCTCAATCCTGATAATTGCTTCTGTGTATTCCATTAGTCCTTCCACCCCTCATTGTTCACTTGTACATGCTGCAGCTGTCTTCTAGGAAACATAGTGGTCAGGCTTTGTGCTTTAATCATGCTGACCTGGGATATCGTAGGAAAAAGAGAGAGATTAAGACTCCTAAAGCAATTAAAGATTCTACCTTTGGGGAAGCATGAGTAACTGTATCTCAGACCTGGAATTTTGTTCATGGTGTATCTCTACTTTACTTCAGATTTACATTAGGGTAATAACTCTTCCAATGTCTCCTGCTGATTTTGGCCAATTGTAAGTATCGTATGCATTCTGTAGCTGGCAAGCAGAAATGATGGGCTGTTATTGTGTACTAGGCATGGCCACGTTTCCTGCATTGGGACTACCTGATGAAATGGTAATGTAAAAATCTGCTCCATTCACAGTCAAGGTGTTGGAGATGATGTGTTCATGCTTAGCTCCCCAGTTTGCTGATTTCTTCTATAGAGACCGTGGTAACACTCAAAAGAAAGCAACATTTCAAGGCAGTACTCAGTGCAAAGCTTTTCTGCTGGAGGAAAATCTGGAATGTTGTTCATTTGTCCAGGAGACATCTCCAGTCTCCTTTTGCAAGCAGTGCATGCTCAGACCAGGCTATAAATGCTGGTTATTAAGGCTATGTCTATTTTCATAGTACCTGAATCCTGTTTCCACGCTGTGAGAGGAAAATATGTACAAATAAAATAGGCTATTTCACTTTCCTAATGCCTATCTTTCCTATCCAATAACTAACTAGTGATACACACACAGAGCATTACATAACTAGAGGCCTATGATTGTCTTGCTAAAAGCGGTGGTGAATGGAGCAGTGTTACTGAAGATATCTGGGATGATAACAGGCCACAAAATGAAATTGAATCAATGAACTGTTGTGAGGGGGTGGAGAGAAGGAGAGTAACAAAAATGTTAACATTATTTTGCGTGAAAACACAAACTACTTTTTATCTAGGGACAGACACCACATATTTCTCAGTGAAGAAGAGTGCTTACAAATAGGAGACTTTAAATGAAAGTTATTTTTCATTTTGTGATTTATCTGAAATGTCAGATTCTGTGTCATTTAGCGCAAAACATCCCTTATAAAAGACAAATGGGTTGATTTTGGATAGAAAGCAAAACCTGATGTTCTTTCACTGCCTTCAAAACATTTGTTTACAGCCACAATAAAAAAAGAATCATCTTTAAAGAGACAAAAAGAAAGGAAATGTCAGATTAGATTTTATATTGAAATTTACTGTCTGGTCGATTATTTTTTTGAAACAAATATACTTAACATTCTCAGAAGTGTGTAAGAGCTTTTTTAGCTGCTGTACATACTCTCTTTATTTGTGGGCATGCTTTTTTTGTGACTAATCTTGCACATCTAGTTCTGGACTGAAAAAGTGTCATGGCTGAGCAGATGTCAAGATTTTAAAAACGAGCTTGATTCTTTCCTTTGGTTTACTCAAATTAGCTGGTAAACCTCATTGCAGGAGGAATAACAGCTAATTTGATTTAGGGCTTTAATTCGGAATCCCGTTTCACTGCCGCGTGTGGACGTGGGCAGTTACTTCGGGCTAGTCAATTTCTAAAATGGCGACTAGCAGAGAACATGCTAATGAAGTGCGGGATATTTAAATCCCACACTTCATTTGCAATTTTGATCACCTTCATTAGCCTCCCAAGGTCGAACTAAGGGGCTAGTGTAGACATACCCTTACACAGTTACTGACAACTTAATAGCGATTGGTGAGGTTAAGGGACAAGTGGGGATAACTGATGCTTAGATAGTAAGCTCTTTGGAGTGATGGACATCCCTCTGTTCTAAGCGTGTATAGTGCATAGCACACTGAGGACCTGGTCCATGACTAGAGCTCTGCAGTGTGATAGAAATATAATGAATAACTTAATCTATGTATTGTTAAAATCACACATGCATTCATCTCTGTAAAGTAGTATACATTCAAGAGTGTTGGTACTACAATATAAATATTTCAAAGTAAGAATATTAATGGTACATACATGTTTGAAGGGCAGTAACTGTTCACAGAAGAGCTTTATCAAAGGTAATGCTATTTCTATATGTGTAACAGTCTCTTCTTCTACTTCCTCTCAGAGATACGTGCCATGAACTCCTAGGACATGTGCCTCTACTTGCAGATCCCAAGTTTGCCCAGTTTTCACAAGAAATAGGACTGGCTTCACTGGGAGCATCTGATGAAGAAGTTCAAAAATTAGCCACTGTGAGTCAATTGCTGTATCTTTCCCCTAACTTGTGCTTCTCTTTAGTTATTGAAGAGAAGAGAGTTGTCAAATGGCTTCTAAAATGTGTTCTTCAGTTTTCAGATAACAGTGCTATTACAGTTACAAGACCTTATATGGCTCCTATAGGAGTCTTTGGATGTTTTTCCATTGTCATTAATAGGAGTGAGAACAAGCATATGGTCAATGGATGCTTTATAACACTCTGATATTTCTGTATTGCCCCACCTCATCTCAAGGTTTAGTTAAGATTGATTTTTCCTATTCCAGA